TATTCTGGGCATCCAATGGAGGAACTGCACCCCCTTTTTGAATTCCTCAAAGGTGACCCGACTTTAACCTCAGTCCCTAACCACAACAGCAAAACAGGCTCTAAAAATATGCTCTCAGGCTATTGAAAACAGGCAAGGTGGATGATGACACCCCGATCTACACATTCACCTTGCCCTTATTTCCAGCAAGTTTCAACCCTTTGCCATCCTTTTCCAGTGGGATCAGATGGAGTCTGGCCCCCTGAGGATCCTGGAATGGTTGTTTCTGCCCCACTCTCCACCTAAGACTCTCTGGACTATTAATGCCATGTGTGCTAAGCTTGTTGTTAAAGGGAGAGGACGTCTGCAGGAGATGGATGGACGAGACCCCGAGACCATCTACATTCCAGCAACCAAAGACAACTTGGACTGGCTTCTCGCAGAGGACGCTGGATTTCAGGCTGCCTTGGCAGACTACAGTGGTGACCTTTCCATTCACTTCCCAAAGCACAGACTCTGGGCACAAACGGGGAATCTACCTCTGCTGGCCACGCGTCGCTGCAGACCACAACCCGTATCAGGCATCACTGACGTGTCTGGACGGTCAAAAAAGGCCGCAGTGACACGGATAAATCCTGTCACAGGACACTGGGACAATCAAGTGCAGACCATAGACCAAGGCTCTGTACAGGTTTTAGAGCTTGCTGCTATCTGCATGGCCTTTGAGTTGTTTAGTGAGCAGCCACTGAATATCATGACTGACTCGTGTTATGCTGCGGGGTTGGTTTCACGTCTCGAAGCCTCTTTCCCTCGAGATGTCACTAATCCTTATTTGTTCGCAGAGATATGTACTATATGGTCCCCTGTCAACCACAGAAAATTTGACTCTTACATAATGCATGCCCGTTCCCACACAGAACTGCCAGGACCCAGAGCGGAGGGCAATCAAAGAGCAGATGCTGCCGCTGTGGTTGCTGCAGTTCCCAAAACTCTCGAGCAGGCCAAACTCTCCCACCTATCCTTTCAGCAAAATGCACGCTCGTAAAGAGGCAGTTCCAACTCACAGGGAATCAAGCTCGAGGTATCAGCATGTCATGTCCTGACTGGCAGCAAATTGCCCCAGTGCCATCTAAGGAAGGGGTTGATCCCCGAGGCACAACAGCCAATGGAATTTGGCAAACGGACGTTACTCCTGTAGCTGAACTGGGTCGGCTAAAGTATGTCCATGTCACAGCAGACACACATTCTAAACACATAAATGCCACTGCACACCCTGGGGAAAAGGCAAGGGATGTGATCAGACACTGGCTTAGTTGCTTTGCAACTTTGGGAATTCCAAAACCCATAAAGACAGACAATGCTCCTGCCTATTGTTCTTCAAAGGTCACAACATTTCTCACGGGTTGGGGATATTTCATTCCACAGGCAGACCACACTCACCACGGGACAAGCTGTGGTGGAGAGAGCACACTGCACATTGAGGGGAATGCTGCAAAAACAAAAAAGGGGGGAATCTATCTACAGTCCCAGGAACACCTGTGGAAAGCGTCCTATGTCCTAAATTTCTTAAACTGTCATGACACAGATCCCAGCAGGTAACGAGTGTCAACACGAATCTCAGGGACTTTCCTCTCCCAAACCACCAGTCATGATAAATATTTAATATCAGGGCAATGGTCAGGACCAGTGGACCTCGTAACGTGGGGGAGGGGATATGCCTGTGTATCCACAGGTACTAAACTACAATGGATTCCTTCCAGATGTGTCAGGCCTTATATCAGCCCTTCTTCAGAGCAAGAGCAATCAACAGAAGGGACAAATGAAGAAACTGGAATCGAAGAAACACATAACTAATGACCACTACCAGACCCAAACTACATCATTGAAATACAGAGACATAATAAAAGGCTTCAGTGTGCATGTGTGAGGAGAGACTGAGAAGTGGCCACCTACGTACGAATGAGAAAAGTTGTGTGGACGTACGTATGAGAGTGAATTCAAAACCACTTCATGCCAGAGATGCCATAAATAAAATACACTCTTACAACACTACCTCAACCCCAGCAAATACAATTGAACACAACATCCATAACCTGACACACTTCCCCTTGACATAAAATTGATGCTTCTCACCCAGTTACACAAATACCCTCAGAGAAAAAGTCTTACACAAACCATATTTACAAACCCTGAATAATTGAAAGTGACACAGTTAATAAGGTTATGACCAGTTTTAATAAAGGCCTTACCACATTAGGCCCTGGTTTTTATAAATGCTTAAGACAAGTTTGTTTATGTTAAGAAATGTTTACGAAAAAGGTTTAAAAATTGTTCTGTAACTCGTTCTAATTATAATAAAGTGGAAATGTAGTGATTTATATTACAGGACGTGCCACAAGGCACTCTGGGACTTGTAGTTCCTTCTGTACTCTGCTGCACATGCACAAGGGAGGGCTCGAATGTCACTGGTTGAGAGGTCACGTTCTGACGTGTCACAGTTTGGACTGTCTACATCAGCTCATGTTGTTCTTAATAAATTTGATTCAGCCACATGCCTTGTGTGTAACTGGGTCCGTGCCCACACAAATAACACATGGGACTATCCTGCCACACTCCACCAGCCAGGGGGCTTCCCAAGGTGGGTCACTGGGAATGTGGGTCACCTGTTCCCAGTGTGGGTCACTGGGAATGTGGGTCACCTGTTCCCAGTGTGGGTCACTGGGAATGTGGGTCACCTGTTCCCAAGGTGGGTCCTCCAACAGGTGATGGAGTTGGAGCAGCAGATGAAGCTCTTCCCGCAGTCGAGCTCTGAGCTTCTCCAAAACCTCTTCCCACACTCCCCACACCGTAGGGCTTCTCCCCCATGTGCACAATCTGGTGGATGACGAGTTGAGAATTGCATGTGAAGCTTTTCTTGCATTCCCCACATTTGTAGGGCCGAGGCCCCCATTCCCCAGTGTGGATCTGCTGGTGGTGGATCAGGCGGGAGCTGACAGTGAAGCCCTTCCCACATTCCAAGCACTTGTAGGGCCGTTCCCCCGTGTGCACCCGGCGGTGGGTGAGGAGGTGGGAGCCATAGAGGAAGGTCTTCCCACATTCCTCACACTCTTAGGGTCATTCCCCTGTCTGGACACGCTGGTGGGCAACAAGCTTGGAGTTGCTGTTGAAGCTCTTCCCACATCCCAAGCACCTGAAGGGCTTCTCCCTGCTGGGAGGCTGCTCAGGGACCACCACCTTGCAGCTCTGGCTCAAGCTCCGGCTGCCTTCCCGGCACAGGCTGGGTCTTTCCTCCTCAGAGCACCCTGGACTGGCTTTGAAGCCCCTTCTCCAGGGGGATCTCCAGGCCTTTTCCTCCCCACTGCCTTCCTGTGCCATGGAGCCCTTCAAAACAGCCTCTCCCACCAGGGTCTGCTGGGGGGATTTGTCCTCCGTGCCCTCCGTCCTCAGCTCGCGGCCTGGGGCAGGAAGGAAGGACAGGGAGGGGATTTGCCTTCAGCCCACAGGGAAGGCCAAGGACATCCCCCCAAATCCGGCCCCAGCAGGACGGTGGCAGCAGCGGGGTTGTCCTGCAGCTGGGGGCGATGCTGGGCTGGGAGATACAGGACAGGACAGGGCAAAGGGGCACTGACTTCCTCCTCACCTGCCCGGGGGGCCCCTGGCATCTTCCTCTTCCTCGCAGCCTCCTTCATCTGGCCAAGCTTTGGGAAGGAGAAATCCTGATGGGGGGGAAAAACAACGGCTGAGCACATTGGGTTGGGGGTTCCTCCTGCCCAAGTCAATCTCTAGAAGTCACCGAGCCCCTTGTGTCCATAAACACCTCCTAAACACCAAGTTTCAGCCACAGCCCCCCAGGAACTCCAAGGTTCAGACCAAAAAAACCCTTCCAGGAGTTCCCCCTCTCAGGTCCCCCCTCTTTGGGCTGCTGGGGGTCCCACGTGTATTGGGGGTTCCCCCTCTCAAGGGTCCTGCCCTCTCTGGGCTACTGGGGGTCCCAAGAATCCCAGGGGTCTTCCCACTTTGGTATTCTGGGGGACCCCCTTCTCTGGGCTGCTGGGGGTCCTGCAGTTCCCCCCTCTCCACGGTCCCCCTGCTTAGGGATGAGGGGGGTTTTGGAGGCCCCAGGGGTCCCTTCTCCCCTGACACTTTGCTTTCTGGTGCTGGGGGTGTCCCACCTCTCTGAGGTCTCCCCCTCCCCACGATGCTCTGGGTCCCAGAAATCCCAGGGGTCCCTTTCTCGGGGCTCCCCTTTCTCTGGGGTCCCCCTGGCTGGGCTGATGGGGGTCCCAGCACTCCCCCTTCTCTGGGCTCCCCACTTCAGGGTCCCAGGGCTCCCAAGGGTACCCCCTCTCCAGGCCCCCAGTTCAGGGTTCCTGCACTCCCAACCCTCCCCTCTCTGCAGGTTCCCCCCTCCTTCCAGGCTGACGGGGGTCCCGCGGTGCCGGGATCGTCCCTCTCTGCTCTCCCCACTCCGGGGGTCTCAGCAGCCCCCACCACCTGTTCCTCCTCCTCTTCCTGCTCCTCTGGGCCTGGGGCCCCCCTGCCTGCCCAGTCCCAGTTTTCCAGATCCCACACCCCTCTTTCTTTGACTCCAGAACCCCCCTGCCCCCACTTTCCTCATCATCCCACCTCTCCCAGTCCCTCCATTCCCCTCTTTCCTTCACCCTGGGGACCCCTGAACCCTATTCCTGGTCATCCCACCCCACCTCACCCCCAGACCCCCTTTTTTTTGACCCCAAGACTCCCTGGAGCCCCTTCCCAGTTCTCACAACTCTCCCCGTTTCTCCCTTTCCTTGACCCTGGGACCACCCTGACCCCCAAATCTCCCTGTCTCCCCACTTCCCCACTCCTGCCTTATCCTGCAGGGTGCTCCGGGAGTGGCCCAGGGACCCCCTGAACGCCTCATTCCTGGACACCAGATCCCCCCTGCACCCCCTTATCCAGACCAGGAACCCCCGCACCCACTTCCCCGGCTCCAGAACCCCCTGCACCCCCTTTCCCGGCCATCCCACCTCTCCCAGACTCCCTTTTCCTTCACCCTGGCACTCCCTGGACCCCCAGTCCTGCCCATCAGGACCCCCCTGCAACCTCCTTTCCCGCCCAGCCCGCCTCTCCCAGCCCCCAGGCCCTGCTTTGCCTTCACGCTGCTACCCCCTGCACCCCCAGGCCTGCCTTTGCCACAACCCACAGGACCCTTTTCTTTGGAACACGGGGGCACCCCCTGAACCCCGGGTTCTGCCCATTCTCCCAACCCCCAGGACCTCCCTTTCCCCCACACCGCCGACCCCTGGCCAGGGGATCTCCCCGGACCCCCCATCCCACCTCTCCAGAGCCCCGCACTCCCCTTTCCTCGGCCCTGGCATCCCCCAAAACCCCCTTCCCCAGCACTCTGACCCCGACAGCCCCAACACTCACCCCAAAAAACACTCCCAGCCTTCCCCCCTCTCCCATCTCCCCCCTTTGGGGGGGCGGCAATTGGGGAACTCCCGCCACTGTTGGGGACAAGAAAAGAGTTCCCGACGCGTGGCCGGGGCCTTTGTTCGGCCTGCCGGGAATTCCCAACAAACATCCCGGCCCCCACCAGCCGCTGGGGCCCGGGGGTCCCTCCTCTCCAGGGATCGAGCTGTGGGGACACGAAGGGACCCCCACGGGAAGCCCTTTGCCGCTCTCCCACCTCCCCTTCTTCCCCTCTCCCACCCTTTGCCCGTCGCCCCCCCGCTGCTTTGGCAGTGACCCACCCCCTCTCTCGCTCACTTTGGGGCTCCCAGCCCCTCTTTTCCTTCCCCTCTGCCCCTTTGCCATCGGGGCCCCCCAACTCACCGGCAGCTCCTGGCTCGGGGGATGGAGCGGGGGGAGGAGGAGCGGGCAGAGGCAAAGGAGGAGGAAGAGGAGGAGCATCGCCCCCCTGAGTGGGCGGGGAGGGGGAGCTCGGCTGCCATGGGTTGGGGGATGCGGGGGGTTTTTGGGGGGGATGTTTGGGGCTGAGCCGCAAATGGCCCTCGGGGGGAGCTCGGGGGGTCCCCGGGAGGTGGTTTGGTTTTGTTGGGGGGGATCCCGGGGTGGGTTCCCGGCAGAGGCGGGAGGTGGGCGGGGGGATGCGGGGACCCCCCCGCGGTGGGGGTCGGTGTTGCGGGGTCAGGCCCCGCCGCCCCCATTGTCAGCACGGTGCCGGCGGGGGAGACGCGATGAGCGCCTTTTTTAGGGCCCCCGGAGTGGGGAGAGCAGAGAGGGGCGACAGCGGAGCTGGGGGACCCCCGGCAGCCTGGGGGGGCGGGAGGGGAAGCGCGGAGAGGGGGAGCACAGAGGGGGGGGGGGGCCGGGGACCCCCGGCCCCTGAAAGAGGAGGCTCCGAGAGGGGGGACCCCTGGGATTCCCGGCATCTGCAGCAGCCAGGAAAAGGCAGAACCCCGGAGAGGGGGCCCCCAAAACACGAGGGACCTGCAACAACCTGAACGGGGGGGACCCCCAGAACCCCAAAGTGCAGAGAGCAGAGGGAGTGAACTTCGGGGAGGGTTTTTTAGAGCCTTTTCCACGGGCCTGCCTCACCTGGCTGTGGTCTCCCTGTTTGTCAGCACTGTCAGGTTTGCCCATAAAGGAATGTCATTGGTCATTCTATTGCTACACCAGTACCTACCATTGCTGTGCACAGACACACTGAGGTGCCACGATCACTGTGTATTTCAAGAAAATCAAGTGCCCTGCAGTGACCTGTGTGTCCAAGATGCTTCCTCAGCCCTTCTGTGGAGCTGCAGGGGCAGTGCCTTTGTGCAGAGGAGGAGGGAAGAGATTCCCAGCCCAGCAGCAGGGCCAGGGCCAAGGGCTCCTGCTCTTTCCACAGCTGCTCTTTGCAGCTCCCCACTCCCCTTGCCAGCCCTGCTGTGGGTGCAAGGCCTGAGTGCTCCGGCAGCTTGGTCACAGTCCTGCTGCGTGTCCGTGCTGGGATCACAGGCAGGGACAGGCCCTGGCACTGCTGGCACAGTTTGGGGGCACAGCAGGAAACAGGGTCTGACTGGGGCTGTCCAAGCTCCATCCCCAAGGAGCACAGCTTGGTGTCGGGGCAGGGGAGGGTCAGGGACAATCAACCAAGGCCCCTCAGTCCTTCCCTGGGCTCTGGGAGGGATGGGAAAGGGGATCAAAGGAGACAGGGGGTGTCAAATGCCCCCAGATCTCAAGGGACAGGCTCGGGGCTGAAGGGATGGAGAGCAGCCCTGCATCCAAGGCCATGGGGATAGTGGGGGATGAAAAGCAGGATGGGAGCCAGCAATGGGAGCTCACAGCCCACAACCCCTCCGTGTCCAGGGCTCATCCCAGAGCGTGGGCAGCAGGGGAGGTGGGTTCTGCCCCTCTGCTCCACTCAGCTGAGACCCCTCCTGCAGTGCTGCCTCCAGCTCTGGGGTCTCACCTGAGGGCAGCACAGGGGCACATTCCCCTCCTCTCCTGCCCTCAGGATGAGCCCCACACACGGGGGGTTTCCGGGCTGGCTCGTGTCCCATTTGTCACCCACCAGCACCCCCAGAGCCCTCTCCCAGCAGGGACTTCCATCCCTTCCTCCCCCAGCCTGCACCGATCCCGGGGGTTGCCCTGACCCGACTGCACCACCTTGGTCTTGTCCAACCTCAGCAGATTCTTGTGTGTGCCGGGAAACGGGGGGAAGGGGAATTCACCCCACTCTTGGAGATTTGTTTGTCTGGTGGTGCCCCAGGGAAATCAAAACTCTGTCAGTCCCATCTAGTCTGTCCCATATTCCACCCAGGAACTCTCCACCAAACAGATCCACCAAGTGGGGGAATTCCAGTGCCCTTTTTGGGGGACTGACACGTCACAGCAAAAGGAAAACCCCTCAGTGGATATTTCCGTCAGTTACTTTGGCATCCCCCGTGACATCTCATCCTACCTCTGTGACATCACATCATCCCTGGGACATCACAGCTCCTCTATGAAGTCCCATCCATCATATGACATCATATCTCTCCGGTGACGTCAAATCTTCCTCTATGACATCACATCTATCCTGTGACATCGCATCCTCCTCTGTGACAGCACATCCATTGTACAACATAAAATCCTCATCTGTGACATCACATCCTTTCTGTGACATCACATCCTCCCACATGGCATCTCATCCTTCCTCAGTGAAATCATATCCTCTCTGTGATATTACAGCTCCTCTGTGATGTCCTCTATGATGTCACAGTGAAGGATGTGATGTCACTGGAGAGATATGATGTCGTATCCATCAGATGACATCATATCTCTCCTGTGACGTCACATCCTCCACTGTGACATCACATCCGTGCTGTGACATCGCATCCTCCTCTGTGACATCACATCCTTTCTCGTGACATCACACCTCCTCTATGACGTCGCATCTATCGTATGACATCATATCTCTCCTATGACATCACATCCTCCACTGTGACATCACATCCTCTTCTGTGGCATAACATCCATGATATGACATCAAAACCTCCTCTGTTATATCAGAGCCTTCCTCTGACATCACATCCTCTTCTGTGACTCCACATCTCTCCTATGACATCACATCCTCCTCTGTGACATCGCATATGTCCTGTGACATCACATCCTCTTCTGTGACATCACAGCTCCTATATGATGTCGCATCCATCATATGACATCATCTCTCTCCTGTGACATCACACCTCCTCTATGTTGTCAC